CAATTTAATAAAAATTTAATAAGCAATTTCAACACAAGTTTAACAAAAAATTGGTTAAATATGAATAAAAACAATGTGATTTTTCAACATAATTTTAATAAAATTTCAACAAAATTTTAACACTATCATAGGATATTATTTAGTTAATATATTAAAATTTCTTGTAATCATAATATCATTTTATTTTGTAAAAAATAAGAAAAAAATAAACTATAAATGTTATTAAACATTATTATATAACCTTTCAAATTATTATTCAATTATAATAATAAAGTTATTGAAATTAGTTTGTTTTGAAGAGACAAACTGTTATTTTAAAGCTTCTTTTCTAAACTTTTAATAAATCTTAATTCTTCTTTTTTCATATCAAAAGTTTTTCTTGTTACTCTAAATATAAAATTATTTTATCATAAGTTCCAATAACTTCTCTATTAGTAATTATTAGTGATAAAGATTCTTTCTCTCTTTTGTTTTCTTGATTAAATAAAATTTCTTTTAAAATTTCTTCATCAGATATCATTTCATCTGTAATTTTAGACTTATTATACTTAAATAATTCTTCAGTAGAAAAATGATTGTCAAAATCTAGTTTATCAATTAATATTTAAATTTTTTCCATTTTCTTTAACCATTTAAGTTTAAGTAATATATTGATACTGATTTTATTCTTATTTTTATAATTATTATTAGATAAAATATCTACTTTCATCTAACAATTTCAATTGTTTTATTTATAACATTATCTCATGCTTGTGAAATATATTTTATGCATTTTTTAATATTAATTTTAAAAGGTTCAATATCATATTCATTAAATTTATCAAAAGTTTTAATTTAATTTTGTATATATAATTTTGATATTATATTTAAAATAAGTTAAATTAGAATTAAGTATAAATAAAGTATAAAATATAATAATGTTAATTATATTTTTACTAAAGAATTATTAATCAATTACATTTCTTATCTTAAAACTATTTATAATACCTTGATCACAAGGTTGGAGATATGCAATGGTATTTGAGAAGAGAAATTGAATAGTAATATTAATCAGACAAGTAATTTCATAAAGAGCATATGTTAGAATATTATCAACAAGAAGGAGAATTTTTCAGTCTTATCTTTTCATTTTTATATTAAATTTTTTATGTACTTGTTTTAGATTAAAACTTGTATCTAACTTTTTAATTCTAATAATATTTGACCAGAAGCATTCTTTTATCAATATTTTTAATAACTCTAAAATTTTATACTTGTATATAAATAAATGCGTCAACTTTTTATTCTTTATTATGTTGCATATAATAGGATTATTATATGATTCTTTGATTATTTCATTTCTGATATTTATTCATTAGATATCATTTGATATAGTTTTATCTTCCAGAATAATCCTATTTTATCACAATTGAATATGACTTCAGAACTATAATTTTTTAATATTTACCAGAAATTTTCTCTTATTGTTTCAAGATTTTTGAGTGACGCATTTACAGCTTCTCTATATATATGATACTATTTAAAGTTATGTTATTTTTTAAAGTTGTCTATTCAACCACTAGACCCTTTAAATTTATCTATCTTTAATAAAAAAGAAAATTAAAGGCTTTAATTAAAAGAATATTATCAATAATAATAAGACTAACTTTAAATATACTGTATTATCTATCTAAATTATTAACGCTTCTTCAATAAGAGAGAATGAAGTTTTCTTATTATATTTTAAAATTAGCTTGGTATAAATTAGTATTCACAGAAAGCTAACAGTCTTTTTCCTTTAAAATATCATTTATCATACCTTCACATTCATTAACTAAGTCTTTTTGTTTTAACAAAGTGATGTTATTTTTTTCAAATAAAGTTCTTTTTTTATGCAGCTATAAGAGATTTTTATTTTTTTTTAAAGGTTTATCTTGTTTATTAGTAAATACAGTTCGTGACATAAATTTTCGGAGTTTTTATTAAGTATATAAAAAAAAGTATCATCATACCAATTTCTGTCTAATGTTAATAAAATTTAAAATAGCAATTTATTAACTATTTTTAGACATAAATATAAACGCCAAATTTTTTTGCGTAACTGTTTATCAATTGCAACTCATAATAAATGGCATCCACTTTAGTGTTTGAGATAAGACGGCTAACTGTAAAGGAACTATGGTTTAATAATATATGAAAGCCTGCCAAAATAATTAAAATAACTGGGTATCCAAAGTCTACAGTATATGATATTGTCAACCGTTTAAAAGAAACAGAAAATGTTAAGTATTTGCCTTATCCTGATCATCCTCTTCTTCTCACCTCCAATAAACGCTGATATCTTGGTTGTCTTCTCCAAATTAATAATGCAACAACTCCAGCTTTAATGACAAAAAAGCTAAATTCCACATATTTAGAACTTAACATATAAACTCGAACTGTCTAACGTATCCTTAAAAATAAACTTAATTATGTTATTTATCGATCACGAGCAGTTTCCCTTCTTAAGTTGAATCATATTAAAGCTCGTTTTCAATGGACCATAAACCATCGCCAAGATGATTGGTTTCATACGATATTTTCTGATAAAAGTACTTTTCAAATGTTCTGTAATACCTAACTTGTACGCTACAAAATTAGTAATTAAAACATCTGTATAAAGTCCATATTTGGGATGTTTTCAGCCGTTAAGGACCAATTAGTGTGGTATTATTTACAGAAAAGATGAATGCTGCGAAATATCAGGATATTCTTCGATCTCAATTGCTTTCTAATGCTAACCGTGCTGGTGATGGATGGCATTTTCAACAGGATAATGCACTAACCCATACTATGAAGCTTACCCGTCAATTTTTTGTGACGAATAATGTTCCAGTGATTGATTGGCCTGCTAACTCTTCTGACTTAAACCCAATCGAGAATTTGTGGGTGATTCTTAAAGGAAAAGTGGAGGAAAAGGTTAATGATTGGATTAGAGAAAAAAAATACTTAGTGCAGATACTTTTCAAAGCATAATTCAGAGGGAATGGGAAAATCTCGATTAAAACATTTTCTTTAACTTAGCAGATAATATATCAGATCAGATTAGTATAGTTATAGAAAAAAATGGGTATACGATAAATTATTAATTCTTTAAATATGTTATTTTTTATATAATAAGCTGTTGATATTATAAATTTGAAATAAAAGTAATAAAATTTATGATATTTTTATATGTCATGATAAATTCTGAATATTAATATTGTGAACTGTATATTAAGTTGTTTCTTTGAGTTTACTTTTGACATTATGTAAAGAAAAAAATATGTAAAAATAAAATATGTAAAAAAAATTCATGAAACACAAGACATAATAATACATAAAGCAAATATTTATTTATTATTAATTTTATTAAAAAACTAGGTATAGAGAACTACAAAATTTTTTATATATAAATTTAGTAAAATTCATTTTAAGCAAATCTTCGTTGTATCAAAAAAAATATTTATTATAGAATAATTCATTATAAAAAGTGCCATTTTTTATATAAATTTTTCTGACTTTAATTTGTTAAATATAATATAAATTTTTTTTATATTTAAAAATCTGTTAAATCCTTTGTATTGTAAAATTTGTAATATTAAAATTCACTGTAGAAAGAGTTGATTATATACAGGAATTTTCACATATATCATAAAATTTTAAAATAAGTTCTGTAATTTCTTCTAATATTTTTTTAATCTTATATAAACTAATATTTTTATTGATAAATAATTTGATAATATTATTATATATTGCTTCTGTAAAATTATATAATGATTTTAAATGCAAAAGATTAAGGCCTTCTATAATTTTTTTACTTAATCCTTTTTCAATATCAACTTGCATAATATCATCTATATCATTATCATTATCTTTATTTTCATTATAATTATTATTATTTTCTTTATCATCAGTTTCATCAATATTATAAACTTCATTATTTTCTTCTGAGATTTTCTCACTCATAGATAAATATTTTATTTTATTTACATTTGCTTCATCTATTTGAATATTAATTTCATTTATATTATCTAAATATTTCTTTAAATTTTATTAATTAATATTATAATAAATAAAAATAAAATATTAAGTAAATTATAATTTATAATACTTACTTCATTAATTTTTAAATTTATTTTCTTAAACATTTTATTTTTATTTACTATTGCTTGATTCTCTTCTATTGACATCTGATTTCTTTTCTGATATCTACTTTGCTAACAATATAGATTTTTTTAATAACCATATAACAATCATATTGTAATCATATTTTATATTAATTAACAACATGCATGTTATTATTATTTAACAAATATTTAAATACTATATTATATATAATTATAATATTAATATAATATATATTAATTATATATTACAATATATGTATTATCATCATTACAATATATATTATCATCATTACAATAATATATGTATTATCATCATTATAATATATATTATTACATAATTGAATAATAAAACTCATTTAAAATATATTCTTCATTGTTTTTATCATAAGATAATTCTGAACAAAGATTTGTACATTTGTGTACAAAATGTACTTTTGGTTGTCGATCCATTATTGTTAAAGGCTGCAAATGGTACCATGAATGATCATCACTTTTTTGAAGACCGTAAATTGGAAATCCTGTTACAAGATCGATATCTCCATTTTTGTAAAACCAATCAATTAATAAAAAAGGATTATTATTACCAAAATCATCTCGATGAATTATAATTGCTCTAATCAATGTATATGATCATTCATCAACACTATCAGCATCTTCTATATCAATTGTTTCACCAACTCATAATGTAATATTAATATAAACATTAGTTTCTAAATATACAGTATATTGAATAGAATCATAATAGTTAACATAACGTTGGATAATAGCACCAAAGTTTTTATATACATCTTGATAAATTTTTGTAATGTCGATCAATAGATTTTCTGCAGAGAGAATGTTTGATAAACCTTGTTTTCTAACTTTATGTTATTTTCATAATCCGCGTACTTGAATATTTTGAAAGTCAAGATGAATAGATGAAATTTTCAAATCTAAATAAAAAAATAAAATTTATAATTTTCATTTATTAAAATCAATACAATAAAAAAATTCGATCATAATACCAGATACCAGAATTATTTTCAGTGGCATTTCCTTCTTTAATATCAATTCGTAATAAAGTAGTTCTGATATACCAACCATCCAATAATTTATGCAAGTTTGCATCACGTGCAATATTGGTGAATAAATCATTAACTTTACCATATTTTATATCTAATCCACCATCCAACAAGTATCTCAAAGTCTGAAGAGTATTATCACGTTTTGAAAGATCCATTGAAATATCTTTTTTATTTGTATGTAAGACAACCCTTTTATATAATCCATGGACTGCCTCTTTTAATGAGACTGAAGTATTAACCAATGTTCCAAAATTGATTGCGATTTCAGATAAATGACGAAGAGCATGAAGGTTTGGTAAACTTAAAAATATTTCTCGAAAAATCTATTAAATAAAATACAATTCAATTTGTAAACAAAAATTATTTACGATTTTTTATTGTTTTAGGGCTGAATACTTTGATCGTTGGGTAATGACTAACCTCCTGTTAAATTATCTAAATAATACGAAGTATCAATTACAATTTAATTAATGTGACCATGTAAATAAATTTTTTACCTTTAATAATGCTTCAGTAACTTGTTCAAGTATCTTTCTTAAATGAATATAATCATTATATACATATGGTGATTTGAATACAGCTTTACAAGCCTTAGCCATTTTTACCCAACAACTCACAATAATACTTGGAATTTGTGTTTGATTACCTAAAGAATATTCATTTTTTATTCTATTGATAGTTTCAGTTTTATAATGTTTATGAGTAATAGCACGAGTTAAGATATAGGGCATTATCATTGTAAGGCGTAGTGAATCGTTTATTCCGATGAGTGATTGGATTTTGTAATCTTTTCCAAGTAGATGGTACCTCAAATGCTTGCCATATTTTTATAAACTCTTTATGTCCTTCATCGTTCATTGACTTAAATGTCTCATCAAAAAGATGATGTACTAAATCTGTCAAACAATGATAAGGGTTTTGAGGTATTTGTGTATATCGATTATGAATAAGATGATTAAGAATATTTTTTTTAACGCAAAGTCTATATCGTTTTGCTATATTTTCTTTAGCAGATTTTGTAAGTGCTTGTTTGATTTCTTGAAAATGTAAATCTGCAATATGATAGTATCTACCATTTGTTTAAATATCAAAATACGGATCATTAAGTATTTCTTGAATTACTTCACATGAACAACATTCACGATTCACATTGTGCCGCTGAACTCCTGCCATATCATTGCCTTGTGGCAAATCAGCAGTACATATACCGAAATCTCCAGAAACTAAAACTCTTCTACCGGTACAATTAGTCATAATAATTTCATCTTGTAATTTTTGCATTTGTTGAATAAATGGCTTAATAAAATCTACAAATTCTACACCAAATGGGACCAAGCCAATTAAAAAATGGTTTTTGAGACGTTATCTCATCAAAAGTGGTATGTTCCTAAATTGTACATAAAGTTCGCCAAGCTTATAATATGCCTTATCAAATGCGCCAAAATCGTCATAATATAAATCAATAAAGAATTTTAAATGTTGTAAATTAGATGAAAGAGACGGCCTTTGGAAATTATACTAACATAGTAATTTATGTCATTGATGTATTTGCCTAATTTTTGATCGATTATGATGTATATACAGAATTTTTCCAATCTGATAATCATAATTTACAGGTTCCGGTAAATCTTCAAGCCATATCTTAACATGACAAACTACATCTTTTGTATGAATTGTTTCCCAATTCTCAGTTAACCAGACAGTATTATTTCTTGATCAAATTAAACGATCGGATGATCTAATATTGCCTGAAAGTTCTGCGTAATATATGATCTTTTGAATATACAACAACTTTTCTTCGCTATTCTCGTTTAATGTCACAATACCATTGATTTGCCCCAGCCGTTGACTTACAGTTGTCTCATTCTGAATATTATAGAGTACAAAATCTCCAGCTTGATAAAGTACTAAAAAATTGTATCATAAAATGGTTTAGAAAACAAATGAATACAATATTATAAAATCGTAAATATTACCATTTCTGATCATATGTGATGTTTTGCCAAATAGTGGTGATTCTTTCCATATTCGTCCATGCCACAACTCTAACCTTTCTAAAGCTTTAACATCAGGACCAAAGTATAATTTTGGATAAATCAATAGATTGTTAAGAATGCGTTGAATATGATCAAGAATAGAAAACGTATAACCCTCTTTAAAAGAAACAGAAGTAGATGGGGCATTCATCAGATTAATATTAACATTATGACTAATTAGAACCAATAACGGAAGACCACGTCGTATTTGTTTCAGTGTTGTGATACTGAGGGTAGATCAGATATACGGAAGTTTGAATGTCGTAAAATTTTTACTAAATCCTGGTAAACATGAGATCCTATTGGCTGACTGGTTAGTTAATTGTCAAGAAAGAATACAAAAAAATCTAATTATTATTACTTATTATATGTTTTGTATAACAGATAAACATCAACATCACGGATTTATTTAGAAAGTAAGGTCTAGCTTCGCCATAATAGGGTGATGTATTTTGAAGTTCATCATATTGATCTTTGAATATAAAAGATATATCTTCATCACTATCATCATCAAATTCCTGAAAGCAATTTCCTTGATCATCATCGTCATCATCATCATATTCATCTGACCCTTAAAAATAAGTTTCTTGATCATCATTATCCGACTCATAAAAATAAGATTCTCGATCATCACTATCATAACATCCATCTGATTCACGAAAGTAAGTTTCTTGATCATCATCACTAACATTATTACTATTTTCATAGTCATCAGAATGATTCTCTTGTTCATTTTTGTTAAAAATATTTTCATTTATGGATGAACCATCATCTTGAGTAACATTTCATATATTATCAACAGTTATAATGGTATTTTTCCTGTATTATAGAAATTTTAATGTATTAGTATTAATTTTCAGGATCAAATCATTATTTATAGAATTAATTTACTTAGGTCTTTGATATAAGGAAGCTGTGTTGGTATCATGCTCTGCAAAAGGCTAGCGAACGACTTTTTGAAGATTAACCCTTTTTCTAATTTTTGAATGTATTACTTGGCGTAAATTTGCTTCTTGTATTGTTTTACGTATAATTTTGACCATCTTTAGAATAAAATAAGAATTAATTTCGATAGTGTTATTCCTATTTCGTAAAGTTTCTTTTTAGTAAAAGTTTTTTTTTTATTATTTGTTATTAAAACTAAAATTGAATACAGAGAA